ATTATTATTAGATAAAAAGGTTTAAATTTTTGAGTATCCTTTTTTGAACATGGCTTGAACTTTTCATTTTTATGATATGATTTTTTTCGGATATCATTTTCTTTTTAGAGTACAAATATATTATAAATATATAAAAATATAATTTAAAAATTAGTATAGTTTCATCAATCACAGTAGCTGCACAATAGAATTTTAATATTCAGTCTTTAAATATAATAAGTATCCGCTATCATGGCTCTTTTTTTCAATTTTTTAAATTTTACTTTATGTCTTACTTTTGTTTGTTCTCATTATACACTGTTAACTGACGAATCGATTTTGTGTAAATAATTTTTCGTTTGATACATTAGTCTAATATAAAATCTTTCCATCTTTTATTATAAATAATAAAGAAAATCGAGGAGTTGGTGATCTTTTTATGATTTGACTGTATGTGTATGGAAGGAGAGATTCAATGAATTTTCCTTTTTTTTTTGGACGTCTGAAGATGACTTGGAGTCAAAACTAGTTGCGTTTTTTTACAAATTTGCGTTTTTATCATTTTTATAACATCATAAGCGGCTAAGTACTTCTAATTTATTTATTGTATTTCAATTATTTCTATGTATATACACAGTTAAAGTTATTTTAATGTTTTAACCGCTTTATTTTATTTTATTTACTATCTGACTATTATTGTCCTTTCTTTGTTAGATTATTATTTTATAAAGAGTCCTTTATTTTTTATTTTATTTAATTTAAAAATATTATATAACGGAAGAAAGTGAAATACGGCGAAAGAGAGGGGTGGAGGAGATGGAGATGGAGGAGACGTTTCTTATAATTTTTCATAAAAATCACCACTTATCGACCGCTTGTATCTGTAGAACGGCTTGACCGATTAAAAATTTTTTTGGTTTAAATTACTCGTGGCGATGCCGCCTTTTAGGATATATAACGTTCGATCTAAAATTTTTTATATTTTATTTAAACAAAATAAAATATTAAGATCCAAAGCATGAAATAAACTGAAAACAAGCTCACGTTAATCTTAAACTAGATTATAGAATCCAAAAAGGAAAATCCGTCACTATGTGTTGTTCCCCTTTCTCTTACTGTAAATCATTTAATAAATTTTGTAAATCCTGATACTGGTATCCGTACTTAAAATGTAGAGAGAGTATGGTGGAATATATGCGAGCAAGAACATTCCTCGTTATGGAACACGTGAAAAGCATTATTATTATTATATGTATTACCTTGCTAAATTTTTATTTAAAATAATGTATAATTTTAACGAAAGAATTGAAATTATAAAATTCTTTTTTTGAAATTATGAGTGTAATGTATCCATTAGATGCTTTAAATATTGAATAAAATTGTGCCGAAATAAGACGTTACTTATTTTATAAACTCCTTTTGTTAATAACTTTTTATAACGGATTAACGTTTATAAGGACGAACGTCGGCTAAAATTTGTTAGAGGTCACTCAGGGTCATGATCTTGATAACATATGTCAAAGTCAAGATTATTGGTGCTTGGTCTCCTAATCGGTACTTTTACCAAAACATATTTTATACTTTGTTTGTAATAATATATTTTGAAATCATTACAATGTAAAATTTTCTGATTATAACTTTTAAAAATATTTTTAGAAAACGATATGTTTAATGTTCACTGACACTCTAAAAACTATTGGCATTTATGTAAATATTGCATCTTATATTATATATTGTATGCATTTTATTGCTTCGCAATATCTTCGCAAGACTGGAAAGACATAACATGCAAACCTCCATCTACAGGTATCGTCACCCCTGTTATAAAACTAGCATCGTCACTTGCTAGAAATGCGATACTTTTTGCAATTTCCAAAGTGTCGCCGTTTCTTCCTAAAGCATGCGCTCTATTCATCTTCTCGTAATAGATTTTAATCTGTTCTTGGTTCATTCCAGTGTTCCGATGGATATCTGTTATTACAGCGCCAGGATTTACGGAATTCACACGCACCTATCGTATTTTTGATAATAATAATATGACGCGCTAAATAATATTTTTAATGCCATTGAAAAAAAGAAGAAATCATTATTTTTACACGTACCTGTCGTGATGCCAGTTCTAAAGCAACGCAACGCGTAAATTGATCCAGAGCCGCTTTACTCATACAATATGGCGTACGATTCTTAAATGGTCGTAATCCACCTATGCTTGACACATTTACGATGTTGCCTTTCGTTTTGATTAAATGTGGCACTGCCAATGTTGTCAATTGAAATACCGAGCGAACGTTTACGTTCATAATACTGAAAACAGGTTTACGTTGAAAACACGTTTTAATATTAATGTGTTCTCAAAGTAGAGAATATAATTTTTATCAACATCCATAAACGTTTATGCATATCAATAAGTTACTTATCAGTAAGTATACATACTTGTCGTATTGTTTCAAGCTTATGGTTTCTATAGTGCCACATTCAACAATTCCAGCGTTATTAATTAAAACATCTAATTTACCATAGTGTTCTATTGTCGAATCGATAATATTTTTCACATCGTTCTCATTGGCTAGATCTCCCGTTACAAGGAAAGGCTTAGGTTGTCCACATTGTTCGGCTACTTTGTTTAAATTGAATTTATTACGTCCTGTTATCGATAACGATGCACCAAGCTGAGCCAGATAAATAGCTGTTCCAGCTCCAATTCCTGAACTAGCTCCCGTTATTAGAACAACTTTTCCTTTAAAAGACATCTAAAATAAATAACATTTTTTAGACTGGATGCATTCTGTAACGCATCGCTTATCACGCGGCTATAAAGTAAATTAAATCCAATTATTACACATTAAAATGCTACATTACGTCATTATATAAACAAACAATAATATTACCAATGTAATTATTATGTCCATAATGAAATTATATGTATTTACAATTTGCCAATATAAATCAGCAAAAATATAATTTTTGAAAAAGATTAGGCTTTTTGAAAAGAAAACATAAAGAAATATGTTGAATTAAGATTGTTCCGAATTATGTAAAACAATGCAATTTGTATTCAAATGTATAAATACTTACTGCGGCAGTACAATAAATTGAATAATATCCACAAAACGGCAAAGCTTAATATAATCTTGAATGTATAAACGTTTGTGATGGCGAAAATCCGTAACGCAATGGTATATGCATATATATATGGTATATATGTATATATATATATATATAGAGAGAGAGAGAGAGAGAGAGAGAAAGTGAAACACTACACGATAATAATGTGATATTGACATTTGTTGAGATATTTATTTGTTGTACTCTTTTATTCCGAAACGATAACGCTTTCACATTTAGTGATTTTATATAACAGAGGTAACGAAACATTTCTTGTTGTAACATACGTATTAAATTGTCTATCCTTGCATCTAATTACTAATAATTATAACTCAAGCAGTTAAAAAAGTCGTATTAATATCAAAATGACCGTAATAATTGTAAAAATTAAGTTATTATTCGATCAATTACGATTTATTTAATGTCATTTTGATATAGTCCGCGTAATCTGTTCTGCTTGGAAGGTTTTCTCTTTTATAATTATACGATATGTAATTACACGATAGAAAAGTTTGAGCTTCCTTTGTTAGGTTAGGAATAACCCAGTATCCGAGAATGGATTGGATTTTGTTTATTCGAATTTGTATTTTAAATAGCGAATATTTATTTGTGGATTCAATTGAGTTCAATTGGATTCAATTAGATTCAATTGGATACAACTGGATTGAAAAACTGCGTTTCCTATTCAAAATTATGAATTGAACAGTATTCACTATGGTCACAGACGCACTGAAAAAGCTAATATTATTTTATGATTGAAAAGTATATAGATATGCTCCATGCAATTCTTATAAATGAATAAAAACGTATTCGGATTGAAAAGGATTCATTTTAACATTCATGAATCCGTATTTCTGAAAATTTGAATCCATTTTAATCCATTTCAATCCATTCTCGGATACTGGGAAGTTACATTTTCATCACGCGTGCACGTAATGTGCCCTATACCGAAACGCTTTTGCGTGCGGTAAATAGCCAATACCTCAAGCCGTTGAGTTATTTCTATAACCCCACGCAAAAGCGTTACATTATGAAAAATAACGCAACGCAGTGGTAGTATACAAATATCAACACGGAGAAAAGCACCGACCGGAATGATTGGTCAATTTTTACAGATTACGGCATAAGTTAACAGATTGCGGCCAGTATAAATCAACCCTTAGGGTTGGATTATACTGGCCGTAATCTGTTAACTTATGCTGTAATCTGTAAAAATTGACCAGGCTATTATAAACCAACCCTTAGCCCGGATCCTCATACGGACAACAGCGCTTTGACTCCGGACGCTGATTGGTGAAAAACGGGTTATGGGGGTAAATTTTACCCTCGCCGCCGGTTTTTCACCAATCAGCGTTTGGTGTCAAAGCGCTGTTGCCCATATGAGGATCCGGGCTTAAGGTACAATTTCATGCTGACGCTTGACGCTTATTTTTAGCGTCAAAACAGATCACGTGATCAAAATTGATGCTTAATATTCGTCAATTTGTATCACATGATCTGTATTGACGCTAAAAATAAGCGTCAAGCGTCAGCATAAAATTGTACATTAAATCGCTCAGCAAGCATACCTAGCCGCTTTGCCGTCTTGAACTCGCCCGAGTGAGCGCTCGCTTTTACTGGCGTATTCTTTTAGATCATTCAATCAGAATTTTAGATTTAGAAGAATACACCAATAATAGCGAGCGCTCGTTCAACTATTGAGTCCGCTGATCGCGCCCATTATGGGTGCGTTCCACTTAAGCCCGAGACACAGCGAGGGAATAGCGATAGCGATAAGTTTCAACCTATCAAAAATGTGTATTCCGATGTATTCGATTTCTGATAAGTTGAAACTTATCGCTATCGCTATTCCCTCGCATTGTGTCTTGAGCTTTAACGTTCGCAACGCTCGCGAGTATCATTTTGTCCTTCTTGTAATCGAATATTAAATAAGGATGAGATGATAGACGCGATCGTTGTGAACGTTAAGTGGAACGCATCCTGTATCTGTCACGTTGCTTGAAATCCCCACAAATTTTTAAATTTAATATGAGATAGATATATATTTTCGCGTTAAACAGAGAGAGAGAACGAAGACGTTGAGTGCAAAAGTGCAAGCAACGTGAACAGATCTATTTGGTGCAATGTTTACAAAGAAATGACAATTGACTTTGTTGATCTGTCACTGTCGTAACGAGGAGAATAGAGAAGATGCACTGATAAGGAATGTATGTATATTTGCATACGTGGATACACATCGACAAGGACTTGCCAAATAATTTTGTTTACTCACAAAGAAATATGTGAAATAAATATGTTTGGAGGAATAAGTTCTTCATCACAATTTTTTTATTTTTTTATCTTATTTATATCTTATCTGTGCTGCCAGTTGCTTTTAAAAGACATGAAACTCAAAAGAAGTCACGGCCAGTGTCATTCTATAACAATCTAATCACCATATTGTGTTCTTCTACAGAACGGTATTGTCGAAATAAAGATGACGAACGAAATATCGGTGAATATTCTGACATTGAATTGTTGGTAAGCATATTTTAATAAAAATTTTGTACTTATTTTTTATAAAATGCATTCCTAAGACTTTTATTTTATGATTCTTAACGATAGTATTGATTGCATATTTTTATTACACATTTGAAACACGTATGAAATGTGCAACAATAAGTAACGATATCGTAAGTGTCGTTAAGAATTATAGAATAGGAACCTAAATGGTGAATTTTAATTCATTTTCTATTGCCTTTGTTTTGATAGGGGCATACCATATGTGTCAAGAAACAGGAATGAACGTATGTACGCTATCGCAGAAAAATGTATCAGTAGGGAATATGATATAATCTGTTTGCAAGAAGTTTGGTCTGTTGATGATTTTAATCAGATAAAAACGAAAGCACAGGAAGTACTTCCCCACTCGCATTATTTTCATAGGTACAGTTTAACGTTATTTCTGTCATACAGATAATTTAAATTATTTACCAAATAATTATAATCTTTATATTTCTTGCATAGTGGAGTCTTGGGATCAGGAATATGTATCTTATCACGATATCCCATTCATGATGTTATGTTTCACAAGTGGCCTTTAAATGGTTATGTTCATAAAATACACCATGGAGACTGGTTTGGTGGCAAAGGAGTTGGGCTGTGTAAAATAAAAGTTTTTAACATGAATATCAATGTTTATATCACACATGTACGTCTATCTAGCAAACTTTTTCATTGCTATTTAATCATGCATAAAAAATTCTTTTTTGATATAAATCATGTAACATATAATTAGGTAATTTAAGATGATTTTTAAAGAATGTCAAATGTTCACTGTTCTTATTTTGTAGTTACATGCTGAATATAATCGTGAAAATGACGAGTACATGGCTCATAGAGTACTACAAGCGTTTGATACTGCTCAATTTATAAAGATGACAAGTGGTGGCGTGGATGCTATCATTTTAGCTGGTGATCTTAATACAGAACCGCAAGACTTGGCTTATAGAATTATACGTGGTGTTTCTGGTTTAGCGGATACATGCCCCGATAGTCAGTCTCACATAGGGACCAACGAATGTGCCAATAATAGTTATACCAGCTCAAAACTTGCTCGAACACAGCCAAATGGAAAGCGTATAGATCATATCATGTATTTAGGTTCGAAGACCGTAAAGGTAAAAGATTAACGTAACGAGTGTGAACATATTGATATGATGTATAGTAATATTTAAAACTTGCAGGTTGAAGTTACAAATTTTGGACATCCTTTGCCAAATCGTGTGCCATATAAAAATTTTAGTTATTCCGACCATGATGCTGTGATGGCTACACTTAAATTCACTAATGGTAAGCAATGTATGTTCAATATTCCACATGTATTATACACATACATAAACATTTATCTATTTTCTATATATACTTCTTCAATTAATAGAATTATACATTTGTTTACAGATAAACATGATACAAAAGATCTGGATATTATCGATTCCCTAAAAGAAGCAATAGAAATCTGCGAAGATGCATTAAAAAGTGTACAACGCCAACGTTTTTGGTATACATTATCAACTTGTATGCTGATCATTCCATTAATTTGGATCATTTGGCTAAATTGCATGAACATTTCTTTAGCTGCAGACATTGGTTTGAATATAGTATGTATTCTTCTGACTGCATTGTTATGCTACACTGTATTTATGAGTTCACTATGGAATTGTGCAGAGAAGAATGCATTAAGAGCAGGACGTTTAGCTATAGAAATTTACATGAGACATTTAGAGAATAATCAAAACTGAACGTCAAATTTCTACAATAATACAGATCTAGTAAACTACTACTTTGTATTAATTATTATAAAACTAAATTAATAGTAATATATATACAATAACATCAATATTATGATTTTACACTCAACAATATAAATGTAAAATGTTGTACATAAGTTACATTATTGAGTGTAAAATTATAATATTGATTTTATATTACTGTTAATTGGTGTTTACTGGATATTGTAATACTTCCGAAAGAGAGTTTAACATAAAAACAGGAAGTGGAAGTAATTAGTTATTGTAACTGCCTTAGTTACTTTATTGTAATAACAGTTGGTAATGAGGAATTTTTTTATAATAATAATGCAACACCAAAGTTTGGAAAAGTCAATAGGTAATTATAGCGAATTGGAAAAGTAATTTGTTATTGAAAAAAATTAATCCCCATTTGTAACTCTTTTAAAGTTACTTTTTAAAGTAACAGAGTAACTGTATGGCATTACTCGTTACGTTATTACTTTCAATAAATAACGCGTAATGATAACAATTTTTTTTAAAGTGACTTTCTTGACTTTAGCATAACCTCAACATTTAGTTAGTCGTCATTAGTCATAAAAAAATTGCAACATTGTTACCAAATTGTTGTTATAAAAAGTAACTCTTTCATTTCCTGCATAAAAATTGATAACGCTCAAATAAAAATTTTGTTAAATAAAAAAAATATTTAATATGTTAGCATATATATATATATATATATATATATACAGGGTGTCCGAGACCACCCGTCCATCCCTTTTATCTCGAAAGCAGAGCATTTTAGAAAGAAACGTTTCAGACAAAAGTTATGGGGTTCTAAATGATCTATTCAGTGATCAGATCAGTATGACCTTGGGTGGCGTCACCAAGGTCAGAGCAATGTCACTTTGAATTTTTTAAATGGAATCATTATACATGATTTTGTTATTAAATAAAACTTGAAATCAATATAGGTCGAGTCAAAAAACATGTTAGTATGAATACTAAAATTTAAATTGTGAGATTGTAATGGTTGTAACGGTTGTTTTCTTTTAAATTATACATTATTGACAGAGCTACAGTTGCGTTACATGTATGTTTACTGTTTAAACATAGACATTTATAATTTTACTAACCATATGAACTATGCATACCATTTCCCAGGAATCAAAATTGTGATAAAATATATCTATTTACATACTCGTGTATTTATACTTCAATCATAATATTGAAATTGAAGTTTAGTTCTTCAAATCCAGTCTTTCAAGCGTACTGCATTTCGTTTTATACAAATTGCGTTTTACATTTCTGATATCGATATTATGATATAATATTAAATTATATATATAATATTATGTATAGGTTATAAATTTTCCAAGATAATCAGTATTTTCTCAGTATGGCATTATATATTTTATTATAATTATAATACAATACTATAAAACGAATGGTTATTGCTTTTAAAATTTCCTACAAGCTCCATGGAATCTCCATATACATTATGTTGTGTGGGAATGTCTTTTAGTATAAATGTAATCAAATACATATATAGAAATATTAATTCTATATGGTCCTTATGCACATGTATACCATTCGTAAGTTATATACAATTTAGATACACATAGAATAAATGCTTCTAATAAATAATGTTTACATAAGAGTACATACACATATTTATATTTATAATAATATATATAATTGACTAAGCAGTGTATAGCTAAACAAAATTCATATGAAAGCTCAAAACATGGCTGTTCTTACATTGTATAATATAGCTTTCATAAATTTGCTTCCTTAGCGATATCAAGATCGTTATCTAAAAGAATATTTGTAAATTTGTTTTATAATGATAAAATTGCCTACATTTTCTCAGACGCTCTTTGGTTTTCTTTTCCTTCACAGTACTTAGGGCAGTTGTTCTACGTAATTCTTCGGCACTAAACCCGTTTTACCGTTTAATGTACCTTCTAGCCAACCTGGCTCCAAAGAGGCCTTAACTATAATAATACATTTTGTTACAGCCTTTTTCAAATTTCTAGAAAAATTAGTACTTTTGTGTTGCTCTTACCATTTGTGATAATTTGATTTGGTTCAAATGATAATTCGCCATCGTTTTCCGCCATACACGCATATAAGGTTCGTACTCTCCTGAAAATTTATATAATACAAATTTGGAAATTCCAATCTTCTTAAATTTTATGTATAGAATACTTACCAAATTCCTGGAATTTGACCAGGACTCGAACGTCCACTACTGGGTGAAGTATTGATACTGTAATTATGCATAAGATCATGATAATGAAAAATCAAATTAAAAAAAGAAAAAGTAGATTTTTTTTCTTAATAAAAGAATTGGGACATCTCTCTTACGGACATATCGATGACGAATTGCTACGCTGAGGATAAGCCGTGGGATAGTGTACGGATATCATGGTGCCACGTTTTTGTTTTATTGGTAATTCGCTCGTAAAGGGATGAGGATCCGAGGCGATTGATTCGCTCGAACTACTCGTGTTGCCACCGCTTAGAACTGGAATAATAAAATTTACGTTTAGAGAACTATACTAGAGATTGTTGCGAAAGAACATAGGAAAGAAAAATATAAGAAGACCTTTGTCAGTTGAATGATACATAAGGTTTGCGTTAGTCAACTTTATGCGACTGCTACTGGTACCACCGCCGCGACTATCCAAATACGACGGTATACGATGACTTGTGCTATCAAGATCTTCCCGATCATAATCTCCATTATTTCTCTCATCAATAGTGGGCGATTTATTAACAGTCAAAGGCTGGCCGTCGTAGTAAGATCTTGTAACGAGCTATACATAATATATAATATATAAACATATGCATGTACGGAATTGTATACAACGATGAGAGAAAAGGCAAAGCTAACTTACGTGCGCGTGTGATGATGCGGGTGTAACTGTTGTGTGTACCGCTGTATGTAGCGGATATCTTAAAAATGCTGTTCCATTACCTGAGGAAGTTGGACCTTCTTCCATTTTAATACATTGCGATTTAGTTGGGATAACAGTGGCTTGTAGCGTAGACTGCGCTGCTACTGCGCGCTGCAAAGAATCTTGGGGGGGTCCAGCTATTATTCTTTCACAATTCTCAATCAATATTTCTACAACAATATTGTAAAATTTAATATCCATTATAGAAGCTACAGTTTCTTCTTCTGGTCGTAATAAAGTCGGACCAAAACACACTGCCAAGTTTCCCACAGTCATCAGATTTTTATCACTTTTTTTTGCCACGCTGAAAATTTTATCCAAGTTTAAACAAAATGTAATCAAATATTTTCGATATTAAATCTCCGAGTTGAAATAAACGAGTAAAACTTAGAAGTACATAACGTAATAAAACGCTATAAAGTCTATAAATTAACAATATCTCTTACCTGCAAAGATGAGTAATTAAAAGAATCAGCATATTGAAATTGGGTTTAGGCAATCGATAAACGAGGTTGTGTATATCATTTATCCGAGTTTCCTTCATCTCCTGTTCTGTTAAATATCGTAAAATAAAAATCACAATAAAATTTTAATTTTATATAAAAAGAATTTTATACAAAAAGAAGTTGAAAATAATAACAGGGAGGGCGAATTGAAGTGTTTGAGAAAAACGGAGAGATAGAAGGAAAAATGCAGATCTATCGTGAAATCTCTTTAATCTCCGAGCAGAGGCAACAGCAAAAACAAAATAAAACAATATATTATCAAGAATACCTATACGCACTCGCAGCTGTAATGAAGCTGTTGTAATATCGGAAAGTCATTAATGGCTCGGACAATGTTCTCAGGTAAGTTTTGAGCGCACTGGTAATAGTTTTACTTTCCCATTCAAAACGATCGCTTAAGCTGAGTTTATCCACTTTCCTCTTATCAAGACCCATTGTTAAAAGTTTATTTACTTTAGAAGCAACTCCGACCACTCTGTATAAACCTTGTTCTTCTAGTCCTATCGACATTATTTAAAGTTAACAAATAAAACCAATAGTATTAGACGAGCAGAAAGCTCGATTAATCGAGGAAAAAGTCAATTGTATCACCTCTATCTTCAAGCGCCGCAATACATTTCGCTACGAACGTAAAACCAGTTTCAGCCAACGTCATATCTTCGGGTCTTGTGGAAGAACCTAATCGCGGACAGGTCTGAAAAATGATCACGATTGTTACACACAATTTCGTTTATGAAAGATAGGAAAGCAGTAAAAGCAACCATTTGAATATCATTGAAACCGTAGATTCTTACAGGTTCCTTCCCATCCATAGCATCCATCCATAACTTCCTATCCTCCTCGGAAAGCGCTTGGAATGTATATGTTACACTAGGTCTGGAAAAACAGAAGAAAAAGGCTTCTTTAATCTTTCGTTCATGGTAAAATAAAATAATTGTATGTGAAACACGATACAAATTCAACTTACTTATCTATGGCAGTGATATCAAAGCAAAATCTTTTTTCGATAGTGTCTGATGTTCGTCGTATGCAAGACCACAATGTAAGAGTTTCCTTACCGCTCTATAAAAAATTATATTGAAAAATCATTCTGAAGATCCTTAATAACACATTATGTATACTAATAATTAAGTTTCCATTTCACTTACAAATTTTCCCGTGAGTTGATTATAAGGGATCATAGTAAATTCTTTCCTATCTTTTTGATATGTGCAATATTGTTTTGTCCATGTTGTACCAAATGCTTCTGCAAATATCATATTTTTTTTTAATGTACATAGCGACATTCATAGTATAGTATATAAAAGGTATTTATATATATTGAAACTCTCTAAATAATCAGTTTCCATCAAAGGACTTTTTATACAACAATAAACTTACTTTTCTCCATCAGGAATAAATATCCTTCGCGTGAGTGTAATTTGTTCAAACCACTTTCTACAGCGGACTAAGAAAAAAAAAGATGATATGGATGAATATAGAAAGCATACTTTACACTTAAAAAATCCATAACTACTAATAAATAACTATTTAATGTTTAATTTTTAATACTTGCACTTAACATAACAGAATAAAACTACAAAACGTGTTTCTATGTATCTAAGTTTTACTAAATAATTAAGAGAAAAAATACAAAAATTGCTATATAACATACCTTCTTCATGTCCTTCATTTTATTCATAAGTGATTCAGTTTTATCCCGGGTAGCAAGGAAATTCTCTCTAGTCTTGTGAAACACACGCGCACACGCACAAATAAAAATTAGTAAGCGCTTATTCATGCTGTTATCAATCTTATTATATTGGTACTTTATAGAATAACTTAGCCGCGAATGTGTTACAGATTTCATTTATAGATGGCTATTGTTCTTCCGTATCCTTATACCAATTCCAAAAGAAAATTATATCAAATATTTAATAATGTATTTCTGCGAAATTCCACTTTAATATATAATGTAAATACAAGTTAAACTTACTTTATTAGCAATTACATAGCGCGCGTTATTTGCGGAATTCTATATTTTTATCTTTTAAATATTATTAAAATTAATTTTCAATTAATTACTAAATTATAAATTGTTAACTTATGCAATATGTAATTTTGGTTTAAGCTGAAAAAGGAGAAGTCTCATTGTCAATAATATTAGAAATACTATAGAGCAAACATGTATCTATGTGTTAGTGATGCATATTTCAACAAGATTTTCTTGCATACAAACATACAACAATAACACTAAATTATTAAGTCATTAAAATAATGCTTCTACATTATCGTCATTTGCAATAATGCATTAACAGAAAATAAGTAAAAACCGACTAGAGAGATAAAATACTTTTTTCTCCTATATCGTTTAACATGTTTAAACAGTTAAAAACGAATTAGGAATCATTACAAACCTTCTGAATTTTTAATTGCAGCTCTGTCATATAAGGTTTAAAATCTTTCGCGACTTCGTGTCCTTGATGATAAAATGTTAGCCATCCAAACATAAATCCCAACAACTGGAACATTTTATGTTACATTAGATTTATTAAAATTTATTTTACACATGTGTTTAATGTAGATAATACATGCACATACTCAATAAAGAATGATTTTATTGCATGCCTATAATAATTTTTGTTCAAACTATTACCGTTTCGACAAATTCAAACTTTTTCCGCTCCTGAACTTCTTGTAGCAAAAACACATATTCTAAACTAGCTTGAGAGAAGTGTCTTTCAGCCATCTCCAACGTTGCATCAGCCTATGAATCACGCATGAATACAAAACGTCAATTATTTAATATCATATAATCCTAATTTCTCAAAGATTTTTCATTCAATTTACCTCTTGTAAAACATTGTCCTGCTTTTTCGTGGATAAATTCAAGTAACGCTCTTGACTTTGACAAAATTTGATTGTCTGTTTCTCGAATTTCTTTTTACCATCCTGAAAAATTATAACACTTCACGTAAATAAAATTGAACATATTTTATTGGCTTAAAATATTTTAGATATGAATAAATATATACATATACATGTATAATATTTATAGTAAATATAAATTATATAGATACAAAAAATCATTAAGCAGCTTTACCTTAACTCCACCGATATGTTCTTTCCTAAAATTCTCCAAAGGTAGTATAATCTGATCATACGCTCGTTCCAACTAGAAAAAGGAAAGTTTTAAGAAATGACATCATCATCATTATACTGCTAGAAAATTTTCTTTGAATCTTTTTGTATATATTAACATTTTAGAATTACAACATTCTATATCAAGATATATTAAGTGCAATAAATAGATTGTCTACAAACTAATTTATTCACACTGCATACCATGCGATCCCTCTCATCTTCTATGGATGCTATAAGTTTGCCAAATTCTTTCAAACTTTGAGATATATGAGTCTCATCTTCAGTTTGGCTCTCGCCGATGCATTCAAAACTAAAGTTTTGCAATGTTTTGGAAAAGGCTCTTTGAGCTCTAGACAAATCTAGAAAAAAACAGTACAATATTATTAACTAATTTAACGAGCAAAGGTGAGACTGATTGCGTTAGTAGAAAAAAACTATTTTTTACAATGCATCTCTGATAGAGAAGGGAAAAGATAAACAAGCAGATTGCTATCTCTAAATTTACTTCGTCGTGGAAGAACATTGCAAAAGCGTTGAGACTAATTACACACGAAGGTAAATTATATGTGCAACAGCTGTTACAACAAACACACGTTTTGATAGTCCGAGTAGAAAAAAAACGTCGCGTCATGAACTTACTCTTAGCAGCTAGCAATAAATCTTTGACCTCCTTAACGAGCCGTTTAATCTGCTGACTAGTCTTCTCCAATTCGCGCTCGTGATAGTGAAGATTCTCGCGGAAGTACGGACTATCGGTTAAACAATCCGTAAACTCCAGTGGTTTGAGGCCAACACCCATTCTCGTTTGTTTACGAAAATTCAAGGGTCATGAATATGAAAGAAGAGGAGAGGACTCGAATTTAACTCGTGAGTCACGCTGTCACCCACGATCACCCGCGATAAGACGCACGATCACTATCATTACTGCAAGATTATTCGCGCAGATCCGCGCAGATTCGCCATCATTGGGATGTAATGTGTGCAAACACTTAACAGTTTAATCCAGACTGTACGTATACATATACACAGACACACACGTGATTCGCTGTGCACGTCCCCGTTTTAAGTTCGCAGCCTCGACTTAAGCTGAAGTGATTCAATAATAACGAAGAGCACAGAACGAGAAACGCGTCTCTGGAATGCTCTGGAATTAGAAGAGAAAGAAGGGGAAAAAATCAAGGAAAATTACATCTATCTGTGATAGAGGTTCTCAATTCATGATACCAGTAAAAAAATATATTTTTTTTAATTGTGTCTGAGCAGAGTGAATGTGGACGCAGTGCATAAAGCGATCTATTCACGCGAATGTACATACAAAGGAATAAGTTCAAAAGTCGTGCGATGAACAAAATTTTTTTCGTTAGTTGGAGCACATTGTGGATGAAAGGCGTAAAATTATTTTTTATTTGAACTAATAAAGAGCTCGATGAAATCGTATTGAGAGGAAAATCTGGGAAAATTTCGAAAGGAATCCTCTCGCACTGTCCAAAATTTCTCATGTGTTCAATCAGCCAATCTGTTCTCGCGACAACGTTGATTTTAAAACCCGTTAAAGCCTATGCAAAACGTTCAGTTTGGCTAGCCTGCGACGCGAACAGTTAACCTCGCTTCTTTCGGAGGCCAGTGGCCAGCAGCGACGAGCGCGACAAACCAATCGCTGCTCGCACCACGACACACCCTTTCAATGCTCGTCGCGTTTATTTTTGAGACAATCCTAGCGAGGTAGTGACTAATAAAAAATACGTTTTACGTTTATCTCATTGTCGACATCGGCCAATAAGATTTTGATGTTCGTCGGCCTATAACCAATTTAAATTGCAACAGTATGGTAAGACATTCAGCCTTTATGTTTCGTCCATCGTTTACCGTCACGTCTGACGCGTGCACCTGTAAATAAATAATCCCAGGAATTGTCCACGTACTGAAAAAGTAGTCTCGTCCTCTCTGTCGTTGAAGACATCCTTCACTCGCGCTCAGAATCGTATTTTTTGAAAGAAAAATAGAAGGCGATTAGCAGCGTTGTAAATAATCTAAATTGTATATTCTCCTATAATTGTATATATATTCCTATTTTTTTATTATATGTGTATATATATATATTTTTTTTAGACAGAGCAGCAAATGGATTGTGCATTAGACCTGATGCGGAGATTACCTCCGCAACAAATTGAAAAAAACCTCAGCGACCTGATCGACTTGGTTCCTTTGTTATGTGAGGATCTACTGTCCTCCGTAGATCAACCGTTAAAGATTGCTAAGGATAAGGAATCTGGCAAGGACTATCTATTGTGTGACTACAATAGAGATGGAGATTCATATAGGTTTGTACCATCAAAGTTATGGCATTTTTGACACGACTGGGTTTGCTCCAAAATGGTTAGAAGGTATTTTGCTATTGGTAGACTTTACACGCTCTACCAATAGGAAAGCATGAAACATTATTAATTCAACCCAGATTAGAGCAAACCCAATTGAGTCGAAAACGCCATTAATTTAGACACAATTATGAGTTAATTCTAAACAGAATCTAAGCTCATAACTTCTTGTAAGAACTTACAACTGGAACTTATTGTATTAATATGTTTAAAAACAATTTCTTCCTAATCATAAGATTTAAAAGAAATCATAGATATTTACAAATGAACATATGTCTTCTAGTACAAATAGAATTAAAATAGATTTCAGTTCTTACAGGTCTTACGAGAACAAATTACGAGCATTAGGATTTTGTACAGACTGATATTTCATTTTTTCAAGCATATTGATTGACTGTGTGACAAATTCTTGGATCTCTCTCTCCTGCAGTCAATCAACACAGACTTGAAAAACTAGTGTACGATAAATGAAATATTAATCTTAGAATTGACCTATTTATAGATAGTAAGAGAAAAGAAGATAATTTGCCACTATAAACATGATATATTTTACAGGTCTCCTTGGAGCAATACTTACGATCCACCGTTAGAGGATGGCTCAATGCCTTCTGAGCGATTGAGGAAACTGGAAATAGATGCCAATCATGCCTTTGATCAATATCGAGAGCTCTATTTCGAAGGTGGAGTCTCGTCGGTGTACTTGTGGGATTTGGATCATGGTTTTGCGGCAGTAATTCTCATCAAGAAGGCTGGCGATGGTTCTAAAAAGATCAAAGGCTGTTGGGACTCGATACACGTGGTGGAGGTACAGGAGAAATCAACTGGTCGTACTGCACATTATAAACTCACATCAACAGCCATGCTGTGGCTGCAGACCAACAAGCATGGTTCTGGTACAATGAATTTGGGTGGCAGTTTGACGCGTCAGGTAAGTACAGTACTTGTTATGCTATATCAAATTTTCAACTCTACTTTTGTTAGTTTATTTAAAATTCTGCTTGTATATTTCGATAAATAATTAAAAAAAATAATTATATATTTTGCTTGCAATTGTAGGTAGAACAAGACGCTCAGATCAGCGAAACATCTCCTCATATCGCAAACATCGGCAGAATGGTGGAAGACATGGAGAATAAAATTCGTAACACGTTAAACGAGATCTACTTCGGCAAAACGAAGGATATTGTGAATGGGCTGCGGTCGGTGCAATCTTTGGCTGATCAAAGACAGCAGGCCGCGCTCAGGCAAGATCTTGCAGCAGCACTCCAGAGGCGAAATGCCAACAATTGATCTTGCGAAGAGCAGGAAAGTTTCGATTACGATTACGAATAGATTTTATGGTATTTTTGGATCCTTTCATCTTGCTTGGGATCTTTCGATTTTCATAGGCGTCTTTATATTTTTGGAATCCATGGAATTTTGGATTCTTGAAAAGTTCTAAATTTTTTGCGGCGGTCTTCGAGTTCTTTATCCGATAAGTCTTAAGATCTTGTTGGACTCTTGGGAATTTTAAATGCTATGACTTGGACCTTTTCCAAGTCAAACCGTATCTATAGAACTCGTAAAATTCTTCGAATCATTGTCTACATTATTGAAAATGATACTTCTTACTGTACTTTGTTGTCCTAAAGAGATACGAATCAATCATGAACGCGTTGATTAAACCTAAACAGTATGAAATACCTTGTTTAATTTAGAATGAAATAGAGTTTATTGTAAATATGCGGGAAAGGTGCAACGCGTTTTAGAACGGTAAATTAGATAAAGAACAATGTAAAATGCAAAAGAGAGTGAATTATAATATAGTTAACGCTTACTATGTAAAAGCCCAAAAAAAGAAAATACATTTAACAGTTCTCTCTTTTGATTTGTATTAAGTTTGATAAATGGTGATTGCAAAACGGTAATAAAATTCATAACATTTTTCTAATGTTTGGAAAGTATTGATATTCCGCTTGTACTGTTTAGGGTTAAATTTAAAAGCGCGTAACTTAGCGCTGAAAATAAATATAAAACGGTTTGCGTAACGTTGGAAAAGAAGTATATCATATTGTAAAGAATTTGTAAAATCTAATCCTCTAAATAAGCTAAATAAGCTAATCCTCTCTAAAGGACAGTATAAAACGATTTATTTACGTAAAAGTTCGAAAGGAGCGGTTGCATTTTGCATTTGTTAATAATGAATCCATATATAATGCGCAAATAAAAGTTTTCAAATTAAATTTTATTTGTTTGTATTAAATTTCACGAGTACAAAAATCTGCTGGTACCATAGATCCTCGAAATCTGCAGATCCTCAATATCGTGGGTCTTTATTATCGGAGCTTTTCTTAAACATATTCCGTATACATGTTCTGTCATGTTCTAGTATACACGGATCTTTGATACTACAGATCCTTGGACTGACAAATTATCAGGATCTCAAAGATCGCCAGTACCACGAATCTTGCATCTTGAAAGCGACAATTTTTATGCCCTCTCTTATCCTTGTCCTCGAAACTCCTGATTCTTGGTACGTGAAATGACGTGGATATCGAAGACTCTTGGTACTATAAATCCTTGAACCCTTGTAAATGATTGTGTAATCATACATATTGAGAACCTCGCATATTCTATATATGATCCATGAGCGCATTAGATTATTTCTTGTAATGGAGACGCAAAAAAAATATCGCGTAAAATTCGTAAGTACATAAATGAAAAGAAAAGCATTTTTTATGTTAGTGCCTTCTTTTTTACACTTGATTTACACCACCGATATTATTACCCATAACTTAATTCTTCTGTAATTAGACTATTATAAGAATTAACTTAATAACGTAATTTAACATTTTTTTGTTGCAAATACCGAATGATGATGGCAGTGTGCGGGCGAGTCAGTCTAAGAAAGGACTAAAAAAGACATCACCGTATCGCTCCTGTGAATATTTTCTTCCAGTATTTCTATACTATTATTTTTTTCATGTATATTGATACCTTCTCTCTCTTTCAATTATAATTAACAATCGAAAGAATTATGAGCCTGGTCCAATATAGCACACATAGATTACAGTATTAATTAGACGTTATTTTGTTTATTTCGATTATAATAGATAAGTTTTTCGATTTTAATATCGTCGCAAAAATCAAAGTCATCAAGGAAGGCGCGTTGTTTCGCGGTTACCCTTTTAATATTTTTGAACAAAAACATTGAAAAAATAAACTCTTATAAGATATATAGCTCTTAGGAAGGATGTAAGGATAATAATTGTTAGATATATCGGAATTTACATATGCATATATTTAGCGATTTGGGGTCTTCGTATTTATTTGTTATGTAAAGGAACTTCGTTAAGTGTTTAAGGACATTTAATCGCTAGGAGCATATTTAAAACGACGATCCTAACGAGGTTTGGTGATGCAAAGTTCTCGCAGCAAGTCAGAAGCAATCTGAATGTTTTAACGTAGAAAAAAATAAAAACTTAAGAAAAGATATAAAACGCTGTGTTGTATTGGAGTTCATTCACAGAAAAATAGGATGCGAATTATCGCGAGGACACCAAATCGAGCAAATTCAAAGTCACAGAGTTCCATAAGGGAGAAAAAACGTATACCTTCCAATGATAACTGTGATTACACTTTTGTAGTTAATTATCTGCTTATAATTATTCCTAATCATTCAGACTGCACTTTCGGAACAATTTTTTTCTTTTATACAAACGATGTCACGAGATGGAAAGGATGTAAGGAAAGAAGATTTTCTTCACGCACACTTTGCAAGTTCACACAAGGATCTTCCACTCGCGGATCTCCTCTTATTTCATCTAATTTTAATCTTTGTTCTAATGTTACATAGTCTAATTAAAAATTATCTTATTGATTGAAGGCGGTTTGTGTAACCTGTTCTGAAAAATGTTTTTTATTAAAACGAGATATTACAACAAAATGTAATAAAGTCTGAGCATAAGCCAATTACACAGTCTCTGAACGTGACGCGATATTGTATCGCGCCGCACCAGCCATCTCAAAGCGCGCGAAATATTATTTTGTGTGATCCTCAAGATCTCGACGTTCCTGGATTTAAAGGTCTAAATCGCATCCCGACTCTTCCAGATTATAATTTTAAGCGGTTTTCAAATGCTAATGTATTTTCTCATACAAACTATTTCTATTTTTAAGAAGCCTTTGCGATTTTTAAAATACGATAAACATCAAGGTGCTTGCACGTCTCTAAATATTTTAAGATATCTAAATTCACAGATTCCAAATTCATGAATTTCATCTCATTCTTGGAATCTATCAATTTTCTTAAATACGTGGTCACAAGCACTTTACATCTTATCGATCTTTCTAACATCTTACATTTTCTAAAATTTCAAATGCTAGACTTTTTTTATTGTAAGATTCTCAAATCTTTAAGACTTGAAATATTTTGGATGTGTTAGTTTCAAACACGCACTTTTAATTCTTTAAAGATAGAACTTTTAAGTTCTTGATACTTGATCATAAATATTCAAACCGTATAAATTTCGGTTTTTATAAGTGTAATTAGACCTAAAAATCTCGAGAACTCGAGTCTTTCTATAAAAAAGAAGGAAACCTTTAGCATTCTGTAGAAATTCCATATAGCGAAAACTCCAGTCTTATCGATCATTACAGGAAAGATGCTTGAAGTGAGCTGCTTTGTGTCGGGCATCGCTAGCATCCCATGAAAAATTGTTCCGCGCGCGCGCTCAAGGACTCCAAGGTCCTTTTCCCACGACCTCTTCATATTGGTCTCCAACAATTTTCTCTCTTTCTCCTTTTCTCTCACATTCTCTCATGTACTCTTTCTTTCTTTCTCTCTCTCTCACTCACACACATAAGTGTAATAAGTTACAAAGCTGTTGTAAATAATTTCCTTCTCTCTATTCTTTAAAAAAAAAAAAGATCCAGGATGTGTCTCAAGGCTTTCTCAGTTTTTATTTCCCAATCAACTATTTGCTGAAATGTCGCCACTTTCTTATATAACAAACAACGCGTGTGTAATTACTAGGTATATGTGTAAGTCTATTTGTATGTATCTGTATGTGTGTATATGTATAAGTGTATACCCAGTTTTTGTTGTCCCGGATTTATTTAAATATTGTTGGATAAAATAATTAAGTAAAGCGGATATATATATTATTTCGATAAAAGTCGTTTCTCGCATTGGCGCGTTGCTGTTGTTATGTGGAACTGCTAGCCCGTTTTACTTTCTCTCTCTCATTTTCTATTTCCTTTCTCTCTCTCTCAGACATTCTTTCTCTCTCTCTCTCTCTCTCTTCTTCTCTTTCGCTCTTCCACTCTCTTCATCATCTTCCTCTAGATTTTTTGGTTATATTATTGTTGTTTATCCTGTTTGACCAATAGTAAAGGTGTTGATTGATTGGCTAAGCGGGTGGTTTTTGCTCGAATGTATTGGGCTTCTCTGTCGTCGTAGTTGGGCTGAACACAATTATTTGTCGAGGGAGGTGTTAGTTTTAACGGCGATTACTACCTCCTCACCGCATGCCTTGAGTACAGTGCACTAAAAAAATATAATACAGGTTTATATAGTATACATTATTTTAGCAAAAAATTTTTGGAAAAATAATTTTTTTTAAAACGATATTATCATTAATAAAAAAAAAGAACATTATATAAAAATAAATATTAGTTTTATAAATATAATAATTTTGTATATATCAAAAATTATAAAAAATTAAAATTAGAAAAATGTGTTTTGAAATTAAACAATATAATACTATAGTGCCCAGATAAAACGTTCCAGCAAATTGTATAACGTCTTACATAAAACACTTTATATTAGTAAAAAAAACGTAAGAGATATTTTCTGATTTATTAATATGATTTATACCATTTTTTTTTTTATATAACACATAAAATATTGTATCAATTAATTTATACAATATACAGTTGAGAAATAGGAATTAATTTGTACAGTTTTATTACATTTAAAAAATTTTGAGATAAACTAGCATTTTTTAAAAATTATTTGTTACTGATAATTTATGGTAAATAAAGGTCTTAGAAATTGTTTTTGCTGGAATGTTCCATGTTACACTTTAATAGGCAATTACAGTACAGTTTAATCTTAATTCTCAAAACAATTTCTAAACCATTTACAAGAAACCAATAGTAATAAATAACAAAAATGCTACTTCATATTTGTTAGAAATTTAATAAAACTGTACAAAATAATAATTAGCATATAATACTTGTTAGTGTACAGGAAGATTATAAAGATTATGTAAATAAAAATTTTATATTTTTTACTATCGTAAAATGTTTATATGTATTATATATGTTAGAAGCGCAGATAAATATCAATAACATATTATATTAATCATACATATATACATATAGGGTTACTGTGTGGCTCTATGTGGCAGCGATGGACTTGTAATCGACAGGTCGCGAGTTCAAATCTCGCATCCCGTATTTACGAAAAATTTCATAATTCGTACTGACTTCTAGCGGTAAAACAAAAAATTCGCCAACACACACATGCAATGGCAAGCGTGGCGTTTCAATACCAAAGCCTTTTCAAATCAACATAAAATGCCAAAATTTAGAACAAAAACTACTCCAGGCGAGTAGAGCGGAAAGCTCAAAATCTCGCATTGATACGTCACAGTCTGCCTCAAGGATTCTGGGAGAGGCAAAGTTTCGATACACTCCAAGAAGAAAAGCCGAACAAACAAGAACATCCTAATAGCAAGCTATAATATCCGCACAATGAGGCGGGAAGAATACCTAGAGAGTCTGGAAAACAAACTCAGAAATATGGAGAGAAATGGAAGAGGTCTATGTCCAGGAGTGGATGAAAACAGACTAAAGAAGAAGATTGACATGAATCTTAATTATCTCTTAACAATTAGGAAAGCTACCTCATAAATAATAAATTCATAAATGTAAAACAAAACAAACTATTCACATACATTATATGTATGTGCATTTTTATATATATACGCTTCATCATATAGTTTAATTATATATATACAATAAAATAATATTGCACTTTAAATATATGATGCAACATGTAGAAATATTAACACAAATAGTTACGTATATATGAAAGGTACACTTACAAGTAACTCTTTTCCTGATTCGTAATCAGCACGCAGCTGTGTTCCCAAATCACCATCAGGTATTTTGAGATCTTCGCGCAGTTCTCCGTTATCAGCCATCAGACAGAGATAGCCGTCGTCAGATATATCTGTAAGCTGTCACAAAACAATTGCAATGTTTTTCACATTTTTATATAAACGATTATTTTTCTTGGAGACTCAAATTTTTAAGTGGACTTTGTTCAATCCATTCTTCTTTGTAATATTGGCAGTAAAATTTAAATGATTAAGATTATATATTAATATATAATAAAATACATTTATAAATGTAAAAATAAAAACATTTTTTTAACAGTCCAAAGAATAAATAGATTAAAAGTATAAAACAAGTTTATATACATTGTTTGATTCACTGCATGCAAGAAATTAAGAGAAAAGGAGCATTTACCTGGTAATCCTCCCGCTTAACAAACGGCACATCCATATTGTGTGTGGAGGGGCAGATATCTTCGTATTTCTTGGAGGTGAATATGTCAATACCTACTAAATGAACCTTGGCATGACCATGCTTGCCGGTCTTAGAAGTCGACATTTCTACAATCTTGCACGGACGTGATTTTAACATGACGAAACCATTTTTGCGCAATGCTGAGCACTGTTGAGGGTATGTCACGGAGGCGCCTGAATCTCCAGTCTCAAAGTGAGTATCCTCGATATCTGCCATTGTTGTTGGATAGGAATCTGCTTGAAACATGAATGTAAATTTGAAATTAAAAATGAGATATATGCTCTATTTGTTTTAGCTGAATTTTTCTTGCACAGTTCATCACTCTCTTTCTTTTTTTCCTCTATTAAGGAAAAAAAAGAGAACAGTAAAAGTTCAGATAAAAAAATCAATTGTTATTAATCAATCTATTGTTAAGAATAAATTTGTTTCATAAGATCTGTTGCTTGTCGATGCTTTAGACTAGAGATTTTGATCTCGCTTTCATCAAATTTTCAAATATGTATTTAATCCTTTGCGTCCAAACCTGAATAAGTTCTAATCCCCTCAATTTCTATATTTATAAGTTTCTAGAAATTTCGAAACAGAGTACATAATTATATTATACTACATTGTATTTACTTCCAAAATAATGACATTGTATTGTAAGGGATATAAATATATATCTAAACTATGAAAATAATTGTTATATTAAAAATGAAAAAATTTATGTATACAGCAAGTATACTAATAAAGCACAGGTTTTTAAGAAATGTCTTAGCCTAGACATTCAAAAGACATCTCTACATTGTAAGGACGTTCCAAGGATATTCCTCAGAATGCTATGTTGGGATAAATTTAGCCACAAAGAACAGACCTACAGATTCATCTTTTTTTGAGAAACAAGAGAACTAATTGTACAATGGCACTAATAATACATTGACAACTTTATGATTTTTTTGGTTTAAGTATCTTGTTAATGACAAGGCTATTTTGAAAAGATAATTTTACGACTGTATTAGCTTAATCGCATAAGCTGATAACCGCCAGAAATGAAATTCGATAGCAGTAGAAAAGAAAACCGACCAAAGAAATTATACACGGATGCAACAGAATTCTCGCCTTCTCTTTAAAAAATATCTACACATAGTACAAACACTAACGTCGCTCGGATCGAGTTTCTATCAATAACGCGAACGTGAGTCACCAAAACTCGGGCTATCGGCAACGTGGTTACACCCGGACGAACAGGGTGACCACGTGGCGCGTCGTCGCAGGGAGTTCGCGCACAGTGAGAAGTTTCGGAGGCAGGCAGGAGGCGCGACTAACCAAAGATCTCTCGCGCAATCGAGCACGGGGGAAATTCGCGAGCTCCGCGAAGTAGGTAGGCGAATTCGACGCGAGTTACGTTCGTCGGGGTGTGTAGCGACGCTGCCGGGGCACCGCCGATTGTCGCGCACAGCGTATTTCGAGTGATAGGTGGATGAGGAGCGAGCACGAATTGAATGGACCTGAGAGCGAGCGGGTCAACATTTACCAACGCGGACCACGATATCATCGTGACGCGTTGCGTCGCGGCCGCACAAACGCAAGCCGGCCCGACATTTACCCGCGTATTTTTAATGATCCGCTGCTCTTTCGGGCAATTAGCACCATTAGTTGAAGCCGAAAGCAAGAACAGCTCGAAATACTCACATGTGATCAAAATGGATACTCTAACCAGAAGGTCGTGTTGCGCCGGCGCGCCACGGGATTGTAATAGGGGTTCACAACATCGACTGCACGGACAGATGCTCTCGTCGTTCGCAAATGCGGCCGCAGCGCCAATACGAGCGCCACCTTGCGGCCGCCGTCGCGCTTTGCGTTCGAATTGGCGCGATTTATGTTTAATGGCTCCCTTTATATCGTTAAATTGTTTGGTACGCGTATCAAGTTGGTGCGGATTAAGCATTTCATACGTCCCTGTTTACATTGACTTATCTGAAAATAGATTTGAGTTAGGTTTTTAATCCAGATAAAGTTTCACCTCGGTAATTTGAATTAAAAGTAACGAAAAATTGTCGAGTGACTGTCGATTTATGTGGTCGCTGGTTTAGATTCAATCTCGATTCTTGTTTAGTATTAGAAATATACTTAAATGAAGAAAAAATCAGCTAGACAACAGTCATCCTCTTATTGATAGCAATGGATCGATGAATGTACAAATGTCCAATTTGCACCCTTTTTGCACGACATTTTTACTGTTGAGATAAACTTTTGATCATCACTATATTTAATAACCTTGTAACAGCAAATAGCGGAATTTAATAGTTCAAAACGTCCAAAACGAATCAAGCGTTTACAGCGCAATAGAACCTTTTGATACGCGTATCAAGTATTCCGTGTAAAAATAGGCCCATTTGTTGAACGATAATATTTTTCGAGAATATTATATTGACTATCGATTGGAATTATAATATTATTATAATATATATATATGTATATATTTTAATATATTATTATTTTATTATAATATTTTATAAGAATCAAGATTAGATCAAGAATAATGAATGGATTTAATTAGGAAGTTTACACTGAGTATAATTTTGCTAGTTGAATTAATTAATCGTCTTGAATCGCGCGACTTAATCTAATTTAATCTATAATTTAATCTATAATTACTCTTTAATTTAATTTATATAATTAATTAATAGAATTGACAAAATTATAAATACTTCAACAGAAATTTCTAACTATATAATTTGTTGTATGTATAAATATATAGTTTCTGATCTAATATCGTTAAATACTTTTGCTTAAAAAATTATATTAATTCTACCCATATTAATAAAAATAGTATAGATATTGCTTGATATCATAATCATATAGAATTTCGTAATTACCGCCTATTGCGCAAACTCCCGAATAATTAGTTTAATTTCTACCTTCTTTTTTTTTTCAATATATCGGTGTATTTCAAAACTCATCGAGAAAAACGTTTCATATTTTTCTCATCGGGAATGCATATTTCATACAGCGATGCGTACTTTTTAATTACAGTTTAATCGTAAGCTCGAATAATAACTCTAAATTGCGTTTTTAGGATCCATGAAATCCGCTTTGGGATTATTAGGTGCGTTCGGCAATGCAAATCGGAGGCATCTGTTTGCTCTTTCACCTCGGAAATCGTTCGGCAATTCGTATCTTTCTGCTACATGTCATCTCATCTGCGTTCGGTATTAACATTTCCAGAGCTAATCAAGCTCCTCAATCCACTCTGGATTCAAAGACCGAGCTCGTAGAGCTAATGCAAATATTCGCGCCTAAATTGAATTCATAACCTTTTCAAGCTTCCATACATGCTGCATTCTCCTACAGTTCTGTTGTATTCTCTAGTTGCCATAACTCTTCCAAATAAGTTACTCGTAAAAGTAACGCTACAAATTCATCCTGAAATCGGTGTCGCCTTGGAAAACTGAAATCTTTTTGTACATCTCAATTTCCAGGGCAGAGCGACACTTTTTTCTTGTCAAATCTTTATTTTACGCAAAAACGCATCAATTGAGTGTATTTTTATCAAAATTTGAGCCGGTCTGGATCTTTTTAATATTTAACATAACCTTAAGTGACAGCTCTGTTACCTCTGTATCGTTCGAGATTAATTTTCGGCACTCGGTTTGCTCGAAGATCACGTGATCAAACTCACCATCTGCTAGCTCGCATCTCAGATTTAAACGGGGAGCACAGCTTTTGCATAACGCATAAACCATATACATAAAGAATTTGATTGGTCCATTGACTCATGCATAAGAAAATGGGCCAATGAAATTCCTTATGTACATGCTTTATGCGTTATGCAAAAGTGTGTGTTGGAGCTCTAAATATTCCTCCCTGCAACTACATATATGTATGCTTACTTCCATGCGCGTGATGTTTATTATTAAGCTTAAAAGTATTAACATTAAAGATATATATTACACCCATTTTTTTTACAAATATGTTAAAATATATCGCGCGTGTTTATATTTTAAATAAGTTATATATACATATATATGATCCCGGCAATTAATTCGCATTTAGAGATTTCAACATTACAGAGCTGCTTTGTGAAGTTGGCACCTTAAATGCGAATATTGGTAAAATCATTATTGCATTCGTTTGTCCAC